AATACCGCGATCGGGGCAGTATTGAAAGCTTGCTACATATTTATTTATCTATGGTATTGAATTTGGCGATACAAGTGAAGCTTCGGAGCGAAATAAAGTGAACTAAAAGTGATAAGTGTTATTAATTATTAGTAAGATTTAAGTTTTAATTGGTGTTCTATAATAAAAGTGTAAATTTTGGAAATTCAATCGGCAGTTTTTATTGTCAGCTACAAAGTCCTTAAGCTCGTAACATTATGTATAAAGTCATTGGCATCTTTTGAATCTATTATTCTACTTATACCGGGGAATATTTATGTAATACCGTAAAACCGTCCAACTTAACTTAAACTTGAACCCAAATATCTTGCGATTTTTTATTCTACTTTAAATATTTTTTAAAATAATATATTTTTTCAATTTGTAATTGCGCTACACCATTGATAAATGTATTTTTCTTTGCATAGAACTTCTGATAATAACAAGACAATTAATATTTATGTGTTAAAAACCTTAATTTGGACGGCGGGCCAAATATACAGTACTTTTTAATAAATAATATACAGTAATTTTTAGCGTAATGTAGAATCTCTTAATTTGAATTTAAATAAGCTTAATGCTCATTTCCTCTCTAGCGCCACTATAGACAGTGCTACGAAGAAAAATACACTTGCTCAACTTTCTGCTATATCAACTCCCAATTTTTCCTCTTTTGTCTTTAGCCAAGTTACTGTCAGTGATGTTAAGAAGAATATATTAGCCATTACTTCCGACGCAGTTGGTTCTGACAGCATTAGTCGTAAGATGATTATCCCAATACTCGATCTTTTAGCTCCTATACTTACACTTATTTTAAACCGTTCCCTTGACACCAGTGTTTTTCCTTCATCCTGGAAAGACGGCCTAGTAACTCCACTCCCTAAAAAATCTAATCCGACATATGAGGATTACCGTCCTATATCCATCCTTTCCTTTCTCTCTAAAGTACTCGAGCGCCTAATATACCAACAGCTGAGCAAATTCCTGTCCAATCATAACCTTTTGAATTCATTCCAATCTGGTTTCCGTCCCGGTCATAGTACGACTACGGCTTTGGTTAGAATCACTGATAATATTCGCCTGGGCATGGATAGTCAGCAGGTTACAGTATTGACATTGCTTGACTTTAGTAATGCCTTCAATACTGTAGACTTTGATGTTTTACTCGCTGTCCTAAGTTCTCTTAACATATCTCCTGAAGTAATTGGTTGGTTTCATAGTTACTTGCAAGGGCGCCGGCAACGTGTACAAATTCAAGACACGTTTTCTGACTGGTCTGCTGTCAAAGCTGGCGTCCCACAAGGTGGCGTGTTGTCTCCTCTATTGTTCTCTATCTTCATCAATTCGATCTGTTCCCACATAACTTCTCTTTACCACCTATATGCAGACGATTTACAAATCTACTCTCAATGTAAGATTGCGGATCTCCCCAATACAATTAGATTAATTAATGAAGATCTTATTCGTATTTCTCATTGGTGTAATTCATTTGGGCTTAAAGTTAATCCATTGAAGACTCAAGCCATTATTATTGGGAGTTCGAAATTAATCTCTCGGTTAACTTTGTCGCTGCTCCCGCCAATCATATTCGATGGGACACTTATCCCATACAGTGACAAAGTTAAGAATTTAGGTATTATGTTCGATCAGACTTTGTCTTGGGGACCGCAAGTTAGTGAAATAAGTAAAAAAATGTTTGCCGCAGTTGGTTCACTTCGAAGATTACGCAATGTTCTCCCCATTCCTACTAAAGTTGCGCTGGCTCAGTCTCTTCTTTTACCGATCCTTGACTACGCGGACACTTGTTATCTTGACCTAACATACGAGCAACTTAATAAATTTGAGCGGCTTCAAAATTATTGCATAAGGTTTATATTTGGGTTACGAAAGTATGACCACATATCCGAATTCCGCCATAAGCTCAAGTGGCTCCCGATTCGTCTTCGCAGGAATACTCACATTCTTCATCTTCTTTACTGCATTCTGTTCAATCCGACCACTCCTTCTTATTTGAAAGACCGATTTATACATATATTTAAGTAGTTTACGATCTCAAAATAATCTCCTTCTAAGTACCCCTAGACATTCCTCTTCCTTCTATTCTAATTCTTTTACGGTTACCGCTATACGACTATGGAATTCTCTCCCCTTACATATCAAAAAATCTAAATCTCTTCCTATATTTAAAAATAAATTAAAACTTTATTACCTTTCCTCTTAAGTTACTACCTGTCGTCATTCATTTTTTTTTTAATCATTTATGTTCTTCTATTTATCTTTCTTTATCATATTCTGTACACCCCTTCCGCTATCTTTTAAAATAGTATCCTCTGCCCTAAGGTTGCCTGGAAGAGATCGCTGTTTTAGCGATAAGGCCGCCTGTTGTACCAATGTCCCTTTAAATACATAAATAATGTAATATGTTCCTTGGTGTACAATAAAGTATATTTTACTTTACTTTTACTTTTACAGTACTTTTTACGTTGCCCATTTTGCAGAAACCTCCGAAACTTCGTTATTTTCTACTTTAAAAACGTTATATTTAGGGATCATTTTAGAAAAATAATCAATCTATCATAGGACCTTAATACTAAACGTTAAAAGTTCATTTTAGCTGTAAAATTTGAGTGGGCAAAGTCGCAACAATTTTTTTTTAATTTTTCATTCAAATGAAAGGTTGAACTAGGGTTGTCACTTTTTTATTGATAAAAGTACGGTGTACGTAGGTACGTTACGATCACGTAGCTTGATCTTAAACATTAATATAAAAATATTGAAACAATCATAAAATTAGAAGTATTTTAAAGCAAATGCTTACTAGCTTTAAAACAAACAATACCTATAGGTAATATTAAGCTTAATATCAACTCTTAATATAAACTTTGACTCATATAAATCTATATTGAAGATAAAAATTTCTAAAACAAACAATATAATACTATAGATTAACAGTATCTCTTAGCATGTCTAAGTAATAGGAATTAAACATTTTTTAGCCTTATCAAAATTAAATTAAATATAACTTAATTTAACTTTTCTAACAGCTTGCAGTTATACTACAGAAGTGATACAAAACAGAGACCTGTATGTACTAAACATGTGATTGGACTGTGTTGGAATTTCACAACTATAGTGCAGATCTATGTTTTCAATTACTTATATATTAACTTAAATCTATATATATAGTAAAGTCAACATTATATTTTTATGGCAATAACAATTAACATCAACAATGCAAAGTAAAACGACTAATAAAACGAATTAGTAAAAATCAACAATAATCATCGAGGTGCTTCTTGAGGTTAATTATTCTTAAACAACATAGGAACATTTTTCGTGAAATTAACTTATTGCAGGAAGATTTCGAGAAGAGCTTTGCGATACTAAAAAAGTGATACAAAACAAAGACCAGCACTATACCTGTGATTGGACTGTGTTTCACAATTTATAGTGCAGGTCTATGTTTTAAATGACATATATTAACCTAAATCTATATACAGTAAAGTATTTAACATTATATTTTATGGCAGTAACAATTAACATAAAAATGCAAAACTAAACGACTAATAAGACAAACTAGTAAAAAATCAACAATAATCATCGATGTACTTCTTGAGGTTAATTGTTCTTAAACAACATAGAAACATTTTTTGTGAAATTACCTTATTGCTGGAAGATTTCGAGAAGAGCTTTGCATGTTGGCAATTCCTTTAAATAAATTAAAATATTTTATTATTGTATGTTGTAGGAAGGATTAAAGGTAATATCAAACAGTATTTGGCCTCGTCTAGAATATACTCTGGTGGACGTAATACTATTTCCACATCATCACGATTCACTTCACACACGTCCTCCACATTCGGATACGTAAAAATTTCCCAAGTGATGATTTCTGAGGTCGACGGCATATCGTATTTAATCGTTTCCTCCCTTCTTATCACTTCACCTGTAATTTCATCTAAGTATATCTCATTTTCTGTATCCCACGATGCTATAATATCTTCTGTCTCTCTTTCTTGGTTGATCTTTATTGTATCTTCCTTAGTATTTTTTCTTACAGATGATTTTTTTCGTGCTGTTAGTGGAATATTTACTGTCGAGATATCATCAGCACATACCGACTTTCCGGGTTCTGTGCGTAATTTCTTATTTCTTTTCACTTACATTGGCTTAGCAGCCCTTGATTCCTTGAGATAATCCAATAAAGTCGTATCAAAGCCATATTCTGAATCCTCGAAATACTCTGGGATTCTCTTAAAAACATTTCGTGAATTTACAGGCCATATTCCTGTGGCACTGAAGCCACTTATTATGTTATGGCTTTCCTTATGTTTCATATTTTCTAGTAATTGAGCCAAAAGTTTTGGAAAGTGTTTTTTGTTCAATGTGGTTTGTCCAGGATTCTTCCATTTGTATTCCAACAAGATTTTTTCCACTCTCTTTTTAGTGGGCAAAAGTATGCTACATCCAGCGGTTGTGTTAGGTGAGTGGAGTTTGGTGGTAAAAATACCAACCTTATATTGCGTTTTTGACACAATTCTACTACTTCAATATTTATGTGGGAAGAAAAATTATCACCAATGACTACTTTTGGTCCGGAAGTTTGTCTCGCCCAGTCAACCATGCTATAGTTTTGAAATAATCTTCGAATGAAGACATATCAAACCAACCAGATTTCGAACAATTATATCTGGTTCCAGCTGGTCCTCCTTCAAGCCACTCTGAATATAAATTTGAAGCTTTATAAACCACATATGTTGGTAGACATGTCTCAGATGCACTTGCAGTAAACATAATAGAAATGCAACTTTTTGTGTTATTTAAAATCCTTTCAGGATGTTTGACGCCCCTTCTGAATACACATTTTGAAGTGCCTGGATTGTCGGACAAGTTAGTCTCGTCGTAGTTTAGTATATTCATCGGTGGTACACCATTTAGCGTTTCACGTAAATTGGTATAAAATTGCTCCATTTCTTCCAATCCTATCTCGGCCCGTACTTTTTTATATTTTGGGTTGTTCTAATGGTCAATATCGAACGATGTCTGCTTAAAAATCCTTCCACCCAAGTATCACTGGGTAATTTGCCATCGAACAAATCAGTCCTTGAATTTTTTTCTACGTATTTATAGACCAATATTTTTATATCCATTTTCGACATGGGACTGCCGTAATCTGCTGAAGCTAACAACACATTTGCCAGGTTTTCTTTCTCTTCGTCAGTGAGTTTCTTTTGCCCTCCAGCTGGTTTCAAATGATTTTTTTTAACTTTGTTCAATATCGTCCGTCGAGGGATTCCGAACCTCTTTTCTGCCTCCCGACTTGACATCCTGCTATTTTCTACCATGTCAACCGCTAATTCTAACATTTTCTCTGAATAATTTCTGTATGCTCTCGATCCTAATTTTCTATTTCTTTTTCTTGCATTTTTAAGCTTAGCATTATTCATCCTGAAAAAGAGACCTTAGTAAAATTAACAAATACGCTTAACCAAAATAAGGTTATTGCACTCCTAAAAACCCACTATATATGTATGAGAAAAAAAAACAATTTTTGGTTTAATATCATCAAAAATAAATACAGATAACATAATGAGAGACTTGGTACACTTCTTAGTACCTTTAAGAGATAGCATAGTGATACTTTTTTAAGATGTTTCTCAGACCATTTAGGGATATCAACGAGATCAGTGTACAAAAATACAAAGAAATCAACAAACATACAAAAAAACTGAACTTAGTCAACTTAATTATTTTGCAAATAGGTACATTCAAAACTTTTTACAACAACGATTGCTTTTTCATCATATGTATTGATTATTGTAATCCTTTGTATAGCCTCTCATTCTGTCAACATTACTTAGATAGTTTCGTAATGAATGTAATTTAACATTGAGGTGACAACCCTATCGGTAATATTTTGGTGGGCAAAGTCGTAATGACTGCTTTAGAATAACCAATTTGACATTGCCCACCGTGATATTTTCAACTTTAAGAGAGATTTCGCGTTGGATATTTGATATTTCTTGTGTATTTATTACAAACTAACAGTGAAAAAAACTTACTTACCTGCTGTAATTACAAATCGAGTTTTGAAGAAAGTTTTTTGCACGACTTTTGGCCCACAAAATACATCACCAGCTTCGACACAGTTTAACAGCCGAGTGAAGTGACGTTAGAAAAAAACAGTTACGTAGTGTTGCCGGAGACGTATTTAAATTTTTCCATAGATTAAATAATAAACGCAACTAAAATGTAGCCACTTTTATCTAAATATTTGTGAAAAGTACCTTGCTGGGCAAACTCAGATTAGTTGGGCAAACTTGTAAGGTTTTACGGTACGGTTAAACAAAAAAAAGACGTGTGGCACTCGGGGACTGCCGCGGTAAAGCTATTGCATAGCATTTTGTATCAACTTATGCAATTATAATTATTTATTTATTTTATTTATGCAGTATTTCTTTTTCTTTGATATTAATTCAAGTTAATTAGGTTAATCCAATCAAATTCAACCAGATTTAAAAGAACCCGCGTTATAACGAACTCACTATTTGTGAAAAATACTGTATCACCGGACCGCGTCGCAAAAAAACTCAGGTTTGCGCAGTACATACGTCAGGGCGGCCGTACGGCAATTATATTAACAAGACGCGCAACTACTCAGTTCCACGCTCCACGGCAAGATTTGTCACTTATTATTTATTGTCCAATTAATTGTCTTTAAGTTCAAATAGCACGCTCTATTAACATAAGTCTAAGACAAAACAAGGAGACTTTCAATATATGAACAACCCGGCTTCGCATTTGTGTTAGTAAAATAAGCTCTTATTAAGTTAGCTTAGAGTTTAAATTAGTGTAAGCTATACGCAATCCTTGTGGCATAATGAATGTGGGTAGTATTTTATTGACTCCCATTGTCTCGGCCGACGCGACGGTTGGACCGTAAACGTAAACAGATGACGCTTTCTAACGATAATTAATATAATATTATAACAGTCAATGGTTCATTATTCTAATGTGTGTTGTAGTGTTGTAAGATTAAAAATATATAATGAAATATATTATCTGTTGTATGTTATAGCAGGGAAGAAAGCGGCACTAATCGTCGCTTCACACCGCTTGAGATAAGACGATCTACTATCAGGCGCTAACAAACCCCCGTCCCGGCCATAAGGACCTATGTCCGCGAGTAAATTGGCAATTAGAATACGCTTTGTATTGTTGGTTTTTACAAAAACGATCAACTGGGCAAATGATATCTGGCCCTTTGCTTTGTGAAAAAGCATTACAGTTAAATAAAAAATTAGGTGACGGCGGCTCGTTTGTCGCAAGTAACGGATGGTTATATAGATTTATATCTCTTCATGGAATTTAATCAATGTTTATTAAAAAATAATAATTTCTTAATAAACGTTGATTTTCGTTGAAATTGTTGTTTTTAATAAACACATAACATTATGTATGTACATATATGTACTACAAATGCACAAAACCCGCTTTTCTTCATACATTCGATCATCCGGATTTTCGATTATCCGAATCCCTAACGGCAACAATTAGTCCGGTTAATCGAGTATATATATACATATTGAGAATCTAAATTGAGAATTTAAACTATAAGCGTGTGTGTGTTTGTGTGTATATAAAGAGGGCTACTTTTAATATCGCTCATTTTAATATCAAAAATTTAGATTTACAATTTTCAATTCAAAATTAGTACTGCATTTGTGATAATAATAAAATGTAGGTATGTATATAGAGTACTCACTCATTTTCTTTCACTATTTTTTTCGTGACTTTCTTCATTAATAATAAATGCACTTTGTTCATTCATATTCAAAATTTCAAAAGACTTTATACACAAACACCGTGTCGAAGACTGAGGAAAAGAAACGACGTTAGACCATCGTTAGACAATGCACGGCCTTCAGGCCACACCTCCGTGCCCGTCCCGCCCGCCCGTGTTTTTTTCGTTACGAAATTTCTGGATTTTCCCGCACTCAAGGCCCGCGATAGAAGCTATGCAATAGCTTAAAAAAAAACAAGCAAAGTACGTAAAAGTAAGTCTACGGGATTACGCAGTACTACTACTATTTATTACTATTATTATTTGTTCTATTTGTAGGCGCGTTGAGCAGTACAAAATAAGAAGCACTTACTTTATGTGACCTTGCATTTACATTTGATTTGACCATTGTTTCTGACCGATAAACTGTGTGATTGTGACATTTTGAGTGTTCACGGTTTATAGGCGTCCATTATTAGTTATGTGATAAGTTTTTTCCTTGTTTATTTGTAATAATAGTCACTTAAAAAGAGAGTAATATAATCTATACACAGCTTTTTACTAAATGCATACGAAAGTATATACGGTACTCATAACAAAAAACATTTTTTTTAAATTTTTGTCTGTTTATCTGTTTGTTCCAGCTATTCTCCGAAACAATTGAACTAGTTTTGACGGGACTTTCACTGGCGGATAGCTAATGTTATAAGGAGTAACTAGGCTACTTTTATTACAAAAAAAGAATGAAGGGCCGCGCAAAAAAAATTAAAACATGAATTCCAATTGTAATAAATTCTACGCGGCGAATTCGCGGGGAACAGTATAATATTAAAAGTTTTTCTTTTTTTATAGAATGAGGTGACAAACGAGCACACAGTCCACCTGATGGTAAGTGGTTGCTGCGGCCCATAGACATCTCATCTATCCTTGATTACAAATCAAAATGCAGATGCGTTGTCACCCCTGAGGACTAAGATGGAATGCCTCGATTCCAGTAGGACGGATCTCTGGTTCTCTACACTCACCATACAAAACACAGCAGCATTAAGCTGCCATTTTACGCTGGTATTCTGTGAGAACGTGGTCCAATCCCGATCGAGCCGACCCATTCGTGCTACTACTAATAATAATTACTACTAATATAGACTGCCTCCTTGGTCTAGTGGTTGTAGTGGTGCGACTACTGATCATAAGATCCTGGGTTCGAATCCCAGGTCGGGCCACAAAATCAATTATTGGGTTTTATCTGTCAAGAAATTCTCAGTAGCTGCTCGGAGTCAGGAATTTAGCGGTGTCTGACCCCCGTGCCTCGGAAAGCACGTAAAGCCGTTGGTCCTGCGCCTGATCTCTCTCCGTTCGTGTCAGTTTACCGCGTCCCATCGGGTTAAGAGAGTGAGGGAATAGAGAGCGTACCTGTGCTTGCGCATACGCTTGGGCACTATAATCCTGTCCTGCGCCGATGGCTAGCCTACGTTGAGGCAGGCCGCCGTGGCCGAAATTGGTCTGGAGGAGATTATTAATACAGCTGCAGCTTGTCTCTACCACGTACAAATCACTACTTACTAGCAATAATTAAAGCTTTAGATTTGCGTTATTTTAGTTACAAGGAATTTTTAACAATGATTTCAATTTCACTAGTAACAGTTGGGCTGAAAAGTTCGTATCGTTTTATAGAAAAACACATTTTTTTGGCATAATTCGATTTTATTATTCAACATAGTTGCCATCGAGGGCGATACACCAATTATAGCGATCTTCCAACTTTTCAATACCATTTTTGTAGTACAATTAGATTTGTGTTTAGCCTCAAAATAGGCCTCTGTTTCGGCGATTACTTCCTCATCGGCTTTAAATTTTTTTCCAGCGAGCATTCTCTTGAGATTTGAGAACAGGAAAAAGTCGCTGGGGGCCAAATCTGGAGAATACGGTGGATGCGGAAGCAATTCGAAGCCCAATTCATGCAATTTTGCTATCGTTTTCATCGATTTGTGACACGGCGCATTGTCTTGATGAAACAACACTTTCTTCTTCTTCAAATGGGGCCGTTTTTTCGCGATTTCGTCCTTCAAACGCTCCAATAACGCTATATAATAGTCGCTGTTGATGGTTTTTCCCTTTCCAAGATAGTCGATGAAAATTATTCCATGTGCATCCCAAAATACGGACGCCATAACCTTACCGGCCGACTGTTGAGTTTTTCCACGCTTTGGATTCGGTTCATCGCGTGCAGTCCATTCAGATGACTGCCGACTGGACTCCGGAGTGTAGTGGTGGATCCATGTTTCATCGATTGTCACATACCGACGCAAAAATTCACTTCAATTGCGGTTGAACAGCTCCAAACATTGCTCTAAAGCATCGACACGTTCTTGTTTTTGGTCGATTGTGAGCTCGCGCGGCACCCACTTTGCACATAGCTTTCGCATACCCAAATATTCATGAACGATATGTCCAACACGTTCCTTTGATATCTTTAGAGTGCCAGCTATACAAATCAACCTCAATTTACGATCTTCCAAAATCATTTTGTAGATTTTTTTTATGTTTTCGTTCGTAACAGCCTCTTTTGGACGTCCACTGCGT